CTCTCTCTCTCTCTCTCTCTCTCTCTCCTCTCTCTCTCTCTCTCCTCTCTCTCTCTCTCTCTCCTCTCTCTCTCTCTCCTCTCTCTCTCTCTCCTCTCTCTCTCTCTCTCCTCTCTCTCTCTCTCCTCTCTCTCTCTCTCTCTCTCTCTCTCTCTCTCCTCTCTCTCTCTCTCTCCTCTCTCTCTCTCTCTCTCTCTCCTCTCTCTCTCTCTCTCTCTCTCCTCTCTCTCTCTCTCTCTCTCTCTCTCTCTCCTCTCTCTCTCTCTCTCTCTCTCTCTCTCCTCTCTCTCTCTCTCTCTCCTCTCTCTCTCTCTCCTCTCTCTCTCTCTCTCCTCTCTCTCTCTCTCCTCTCTCTCTCTCTCCTCTCTCTCTCTCTCTCTCCTCTCTCTCTCTCTCCTCTCTCTCTCTCTCTCTCTCTCTCTCTCCTCTCTCTCTCTCTCTCTCTCCTCTCTCTCTCTCTCCTCTCTCTCTCTCTCTCTCTCTCTCTCTCTCTCTCTCTCCTCTCTCTCTCTCTCTCTCTCCTCTCTCTCTCTCTCTCTCTCTCCTCTCTCTCTCTCTCTCTCTCTCTCTCTCTCTCTCTCTCTCTCTCTCTCTCTCTCTCTCTCTCTCTCTCTCCTCTCTCTCTCTCTCTCTCTCTCTCTCTCTCTCTCCTCTCTCTCTCTCTCTCTCTCTCTCTCTCTCTCTCTCTCTCCTCTCTCTCTCTCTCTCTCTCTCTCTCTCTCTCCTCTCTCTCTCTCTCTCTCTCTCTCTCTCTCTCTCTCCTCTCTCTCTCTCTCTCTCTCTCTCTCTCTCTCCTCTCTCTCTCTCTCCTCTCTCTCTCTCTCTCTCTCCTCTCTCTCTCTCTCTCTCTCTCTCCTCTCTCTCTCTCTCTCTCCTCTCTCTCTCTCTCTCTCTCTCCTCTCTCTCTCTCTCTCTCTCTCTCTCTCCTCTCTCTCTCTCTCTCTCTCTCTCTCTCTCTCTCTCTCTCTCTCTCCTCTCTCTCTCTCTCTCTCTCTCTCTCTCTCTCCTCTCTCTCTCTCTCCTCTCTCTCTCTCTCTCTCTCTCTCTCTCCTCTCTCTCTCTCTCTCTCTCTCTCTCTCTCGTTCTCTCGTTCTCTTGGATTTTTATTCCTAGTTACTGTTGCCAGGTAATAAGATCACGTTTATGTATTTCTACCAAGGGGGACTAATCAAAGCATTGTGTAAAATTATGAATAATCTATTTCGTCTTGATGACAAAAATTCTTTGATTCGATACCATTTAACTTGTAATACCCTAAAATTTTTGTATGTATATGTGTGTATATATATATATATATATATATATATATATATATATATATATATATATATATATATATATATATATATGTATATATATACATATATATGTATATATACATATGTATATATATACATGTATATACATAAATGTACATGTATATATACATATATATATACATACATACATGTATATATATATATATATATATATATATATATATATATATATATATATATATATATATATATATTACATACATGTATATATATATATATATATATATATATATATATATATATATATATATATATATATATATATATATATATATATATTTATTTATGTATTTATATATATATATATATATATATATATATATATATATATATATATATATATATATATATATATATATATATATATATATATATATATATATATATATATATATATATATATATATATATACATACATGAATAGAACAATGAAAAGAAAGGTAAGAAAATAAATCACTGGATTTTGTGTAATTTTTCCCGGCTCATTTACTTAAGCAAGTTTTGTTGTCTTGTTCCATTGTTACAAGATTGGTACTTGGACTGCTTTGTCGGCTTCCTGTGCAATTGCTTAACAAGGGAAGGGAATACCTGAGCTATCAATTTCTTTGTCGTTTCTCTTTTCATTTTAATATCCAATTTATTCGCGTGTTTTGTTTGGTGTTTCTCTATTTCTTTCTCTTTTTCTTATTTTCCTTTTTCTTTTCCTTTTTCTTTTCTTTCTTTTTTTCTCCTCTTTTCTTTCCCCTTTTCGTTCTTGTTTTCTCTCTACCTCTCTCTCTCTCTCTCTCTCTCTCTCTCTCTCTCTCTCTCTCTCTCTCTCTCTCTCTCTCTCTCTCTCTCTCTCTCTCTCTCTCTCTCTCTCTTCTTTCTCTCTTTCCTCTCTCTTTCCCTCTCTCTCTCTCTCTCTCTCTCTCTCTCTCTCTCTCTCTCTCTCTCTCTCTCTCTCTCTCTCTCTCTCTCTCTCTCTCTATGTATCTCTCTCTCTCTCTCTCTCTCTCTCTCTCTCTCTCTCTCTCTCTCTCTCTCTCTCTCTCTCTCTCTCTCTCTCTCTCTCTCTCTCACTCTCTCTCTCTCTCTCTCTCTCGCTTCTTTCCCCCCCTACCTTCCCCCACCTCCACCCCCTCACCCCTTATTTACTCCCACCTTAACCTCCCCTCTTTTCTCCTAAATTTCCCCTCAGAGCATGAACTTCCCCGCGTCGGTCGTGAGCCAGTTCCCCTCCTGCACGAAGTCGGTCACCGTGCGTCTTCAAGGAACCGTCATTCGCCTCAAGCAGAAGCGGGAGATTACCGTTAACGGCGTCGAAGTTAAGGACTTGCCTATGTGGATCAACGGCGCTTACATCAAGAGGGCGTCCAGTCTGTTTATCATGGGTGAGGATGATGAAAATGTCTCGTGGGTTGTGGTATTGGTGTATGTGTGTGTGTGTGTGGTTGGGTGTGTGTGTGGGGGGGGGGGGGGGGGTTAGGTGTGTGTGGGGTGTGTGGGGGGGGTGTGTGGTGTAGATTGATATATTGATAGAAAGATAGGTAGATAAACAGAATATCTAGATAGATTGATAGAAAGGTAGGTAGAAAGATTTAGATACAGATATAACATACACACACACACACACACACACACACACACACACACACATATATAAATATATATATATATATACATACATATATATATATATATATATATATATATATATATATATATATATATACATATATATTAATCTATAAATGCATACATACATACATACATACATACGTACATACATACATTCATGCAAACATTCATACAGTGCATACATACATGCATGCAATTTGCAATTATATATATATATATATATATATATATATATATATATATATATATATATATATATATATATATATATATATATATATATATATATATATATACATATATATATATATATGTATACGTACACATGTAAAATTCGCTTAAACAAATATTGAAATCGATGTAAAAGAGGACGAGTAATTTTCTCAAAGTAATAAATGTGATTCCCATTTTCAACACTTACACTCTAACCTACTTTGCATAATTCGAATGGCTTTTTAAATAACATTGATCATACCTCTTGCTTTATGAAGTTATTCATCCTCATTCATACACGTCTCTTCAACACACATGAGTATATAAATACATATAAATATTGAGACAGCGTTCAGGTATAAAACAGGTGGGTGGACAGGAAAGTTTATTTATAGACAAGACGTAAAGTTTAATGATTACAGATCCATGTATTTGAGCACATAACTAGGCTTGAGTAACAGGTCGGGTACATTACGTGTTCATGGTAATGGCAGGTTTCATAAATCAGATTCTGTTCTCCATTCATTGTTCTCTGTCCTCGTTCGCAGAGAGATCATAAAGAGATACACTTTCACTGTAAATCTCAATGCCATGGAATTTGGATTCTAATGTTTATTTTTGTTTCAGTTTCTTTATATTTTTTTTTCGTTTATTTCTACTTATTTTTTTTTATTTCGTTTTTTTCTCTTTGGTTTATTTGTTTGTTTGTGTGTGTGTGTTGTATGATTCGTTTTTCTCCCTGTGAGTGTATGCATCTGTGTGTGTTGTATGTTTTAATGCGTGTGAATCTGTGTGTGTTTCAGTGAGTATGTGCACCTGTGTGTGTGATATATGCATGTGTTGTATGACTGTTTTCCTGTGAATGTGTTTAGTCACGTGTGTTATATCTACAGTTTTTATTCCTGAGAGTGTGTGCATCTACGTGTAACTGTATCTTGTTTTTTTTCCTGAGAATGTGTGCGTCTGCGTGTGTTGTACCATTTTCCAGTGAGTGTGTGAGTCGCTTTCATTCACAGGAGGATAGAAACCACGTGACACAAGGCGGGAGGTTCTGTGGTTTGGGTGTCTCGTCATAATTACAAAGGGAGATGACAACAGAGTAGCAAAGGCGGCCGCGAGAGGGCTCTGTCTGTACACGCGCGAAGAGACAATGAACCATAAAAAATAAATATATTCACGCACAGAAACGAAACATTCTTTTTACTTTAGGTTCTTTTTCGAAAGTGTTTATTTTAAGTTCCTTTTTCTGCTCTACAAATCATTCATCTCCCCCCCCCCCCTTCCCCCAAAAGGGCTATAAAACAAGTAATTCAACAGAGAAACAACCGGCTCTTCATACAAGAAAAGAGTTTATTTATAGGCCTACAGATGTTGTTTTTTTCCCCCCTTGTAAAATGTCCCCACTTGTTAGCCGTCACCAAAGTCGGCCGATAACCAGCAGGAGGTCCGGAATAGGCTCCCCCCGAGGGCTCTGAAAAGGAGGCAGTGAGAAGTGCAATTCATATTTTACACGTAAATTTACGCACGTGGAACACATATGTATATGTTGATGTACGTGATTGTTTGTGTGATTTAGTATATAGTGATATTGGTACAGATAGATAGATGGGTGGATAGATAATGATATAGATAGATAGATAGATGGATGGATAGATGGATATAGATATAGATACAGATGTTGAAACAGGTATAGTTATTGTTCTCAGGAGACTCTGTCATTCTATTTTTGATTGTGTTTGTCAACTATGTATATGTATGTTGGTTAAATAAACGTTGTCAGTATCAATATCCTCCCCTTCCTCCTCCTCTTCCTCTTCCCCCATCCTTCTCCTCTTCCTCCTCCTCCTCCTCCTCCTCCTCCCCCCTTCTACTTTAACCCCTCCTCCTTATAATTCTCATCCTCATGTTCATTTTCCACCATCCCCTCTCCCTCTTCCTCCCCATCCTCCTCCTCCTCCCCATTCTCATTCTCATTCATCCTCATCCTCTTCCTCACCTTATCCTTTTCCTCATCATCATCCTCTACCTTCTCCCCCACCACCATCTCTCCCTTTTCCAAGACCTCCCTCTCCTCCTCTATTCCTCTCCATCTCCTCCTCCTCCCCCTCGGCCTCCCCCTCTCCCCTTCCTCCTCCTCCTCCTCCTCCTCCTCCTCCTCCTCCTCTCCATCCTCCTCCTCCTAATCACCTCCTCCCCCCTCCCCCCTCCCCCTCCCCTCCTCCTCCATCTTCCTCCTAATCACCTCCTAATCACCTCCTCCCCCTCACCTTCCTCCTCCACCCCCTCCCCTTCCTCCTCCACCCCCCTCCTAATCACCTCCTCCTCCTCCTCCTCCTTCTCCTTTTCCACCACTATCTCCCCCTCCTCCTCCATCCCCCTCTTAACCACCTCCTCCTCCTCCTCCTCCTCCTCCTCCTCCTCCTCCTCCTCCTCCTCCTCCTCCTCCTCCTCATGCTCCCCCTCCTCTTAACCACCTCCTCCTCCTCCTCCTCCTCATGCTCCCCCTCCTCTTAACCACCTCCTCCTCCTCCTCCTCCTCCGCAGTCGAACTGGACAACGGCATCGACGTGTGGTGGGACGGCCAGGCCGGCGTGTACGTCGACGCGCCCGCCGACTTCCGAGGCGAGGTGGCGGGTCTGTGCGGCACCTTCACCGATAACCAGAGGGACGATTTCCTGACTCCTGAAGGGGACGTCGAGAACAACCCTATTGCTTTTGCCAACAAGTGGAAGATCTCGGAGGTAGGGGGGGTTGTTTTGTTTTTGTTTGGTTTGGTTTGGTTGGTTTTTGGTTAGTATTGTAAGTGGTGTTGTTGTTATTATTTGTGTTTTATTATTATTATTATTTGTTATTATCATTATTATTATTATTATCATTATTTTTATTATTATCATTATTTTTATTATTATCATTATTTTTATCATTATTATCATTATCATTATTATTATCATTATTATAATCATTATCATTATAGTTATTATTATTATGATCATTATTATTATTGTTATGATTGTTATTATTATTATCATTATTGTTATTATTGTTGTCGTTATTAGCATTATGATTGTTATTATCATTGATATTAATGATGTTGTTATAGTTATTCTCAATAACATATTATAATTAGTTTATATACTCATTTGTATATAAGTGCGTGTGTGTGTGTGTGTGCGTGTGTGTGTGTGCGTGTGTGTGTGTGTGTGTGTGTGTGTGTGTGTGTGTGTGTGTTTTGAAGGATAGTGTTTCCCATCTACAAGAATCCGACATTAAATATTCAACTTTCATTTTCGTAATCTGTAAACAAAACCTTGTAGACACACACACACGCACACACACACACGCACACTCACACACACACACACATTCACACACACACACACACACACACACACACACACACACACACACACACACACACACACACACACACATACACACACACACACACACATACACACACATACACACACACACACACACACACACACACACACACACACACGAACACACACATACGCACTCAAACAAAAAAAAAAACACAGACAATCTTCCTCCCCACAATCAGAATCCCCACCCCCACCCCCTCTATCCCTCCCCCCCACCTCCCTTCCCTCAATTACATAATCCTTTCCAGAACCAGACTTAACCGCCGCCGCCAGTCACGTCATATCGTAAACTCGTTTGTTTTGGTGTCCGTTCATTTAACTCGTTCCTACTCCTGTCCCTGGGTTCGTGTTCATTTCCTTGTCCCTTATCCTGTCCCTGGTTCGTGTTCATTCCCTCGTTCCATCTCTTGTCCCTAGTTTCTGTTCATGTCCCTGGTTTTTGTTCGTTTCCCGGTTTCCAGTCCCTGGTTAGTGTTCATTTCCCTCATCCCGTCTCTTGTCCCTAGTTCGTGTTCATTCCCTCGTTCCTTCTCTTGTCCCTGGTTTCTGTTAATTTCCCTCGTTCTTCTTCTTGTCCTTTTCCTGTCCTTGGTTCGTGTTGACTTCCCTCTTTCCTTTTCCTACTCCCTGGTTTCTTTTCATTTCCCTTCGTCCCTTTTTCTGTCCCTGGTTCGTGTTCATTTCCCTCGCTCCTTTTCCTGTCCCTGATTCGTGTTCATTTCCCTCGTCCCTTCTCATGTCCCTGGTTTCCGATCATTTCCCCACGTCCCTTTTCCTGTCCCTGGCTTGTGTTCATTTCCCTGGTCCCTTATTGCAGAAGTGTCCAGACCAGCCCTTAGCGGAGGAAAGTCGCCCCTGTGATCGCCATGTGCAGAACAAGGCCGTGGCGGAGAAATACTGTGCGAAGATTAAGTCTGGACTTTTTGCAAGTGCGTATCTATATAGGTTTTCTTCGTTATATATTGTTTATTGTTGTTAGCATCATGGGGATATATATTTTGTTATTCTTGTTAGCATCGTGGGGTTATATATATATATATATATATATATATATATATATATATATATATATATATATATATATATATATATATATATATATATATATACATTGGCTATTGTTGTTAGCATTGTTTATTATCATCATCATCAGGAATACTATTAATAACATTGGTATTTTGTATTGTTTTGATAATCCTGCCAGTTTTGATATTATCAGTAGTAGTAGTGAATGCGCTTGTAACTTTTCCTTTTGATATCTGATATGTATTGGTTTATATCCTGTTACAGAGTGATAGAAAAAATATATATATTTACATGTATGTATGCATGTATACGAGTGTGTGTTTATGTATACACACACACACACACACACATATATATATATATATATATATATATATATATATATATATATATATATATATATATATATATTATATATATATAATATATATATATATATGTATATGTATATATATATATATATATATATATATATATATATATTATATTATATATATATATATACGAATATTACCTGTTCTTCCCTTCGTTGTTTTATCAAGAATTTGTCCAACACGCCACGACACTAACACCCCCCCTCCTCCTTGACCAGAGTGCCACTTGGAGGTCGACCCCGAGCCCTACCACCGCAATTGCTTGTATGACATGTGTTCGTGCGAGACCAAGCTGGACGGCTGCCTGTGCTCGACGCTCGCCTCCTACGCCAAGGAGTGCGCTCGGAAGGGCATCCTGATCGACTGGCGCGCTGAGATTCGCGAGTGCGGTGAGTCGTCGAAGGGGGGAAGGGAGGGAAAAGGGGCGATTCGATTTTGTTTTAGGGTGGGTTTTTTTGTCTCTTTGGATTCTGTTGCTATCGGGTTTTGTGTTTATGGATGATTTTGTTTTTTGTTTTTTTTGTTTTGTTTTTTTCAAGCTTTGTTCTTATGGAATTTTATCTGACTATTTGTTTGTTTATTATTTTTTATTTTGTTTTGTTACCGTTTCTTTTTACATGCATCATCTATCGGCGATTGCAGGCGTGCACTGCACCGGCGGCCAGAAGTACCAAGTCTGCGGCAACAGCTGTTCGCACACTTGCCTCGACCTGGCAACGAACCCGGATTGCAAGAGGAAGTGCGTCGAGGGCTGCAATTGCCTCGACGGCTTCTCCCTCGACCAAGATGGCATCTGCGTGCCCGTCACGGACTGCCCCTGCGTGTTCGAGTCCAAAGAGTACAAGCCGGGCTACGAGATGCTTCAGCGACAGCCCGACGGAAGCGACATGGTCTGGTGAGTTCGGGGATTCGGCGATGCTCTGCTGTTTTAGATGCTCTCGTTTATTGTATCGAATATCGTTTGGCTCTTTAATTTTTCTCTAGCGTGTATTTCGTATACGTACATGCTCTCACTCGTATAATTAACTATTACTCATTTATTTTACATCCTCTCCTTATATCGTAAACACCCCACATTCTCTAATAATAAGTGAATTCAAATAAATAACTATCTTCAGCGAGTGTTTCAACGCGGGATGGAACTGCTGGGAGCCTCGAGATAACGACACAGCCACCAAGCCTCCTCAAGTGCAGTGCGCCGAACACTTGCACGAGGTTTACACTGACTGCATGCCCGAGCAGGAGAACACGTGTCAGGTACGGTACTCGTGGAAGCTGGAGGGGTAATAATAGCATAGTTTCCCCTCGGACGAACTTTTTCTCGAACGAACTGTTATTTCTTGTATTATAAAGACCATTTGTATGTGATTTAGTGAAAGGTATTTTCTTGTACTGTTGTTTCTTTGTCGTATTATAAAGACCTTTTGAGTATATGCTTTATTTAAGATGTATTTTCTTGCACTGCTGTTTCCTCCTTGAATTACGAGTAATATATACCATCTGAATATATTTTGTTTTTTACCTTTAATCGCCAAACGTATATTGTTAAATCAACATTCTATCCAAAAAATACCCCACATTTACCTTCCTTTTATCAACCTTCTGCTTTCCGTCACGCCCCTCCCCCCCCAATTCCTCCCAACAGACGATGCACTTGCGCTCGATTCCTGGGGACCTCTGCCGCGCCGGGTGTGTGTGTGGCGCGGGCTTCGTCAGGGACACCGATACGGGCACCTGCATTAAGCATAGCAACTGTCCTTGTCACCACGGAGGAAGGTCGTACTCGGAGGGAGAGATCATCGTCGAGGATTGCAACACCTGGTAAGATAGTTGTTGCTTGGTTTGTTTGTTTGTTTGATTTTTTTTTTTTCTTGGTGTTGGTTTTAAGGTGATTTTGTTTGGTGTTGGTGTTGTTGGTGTGTGTTTGTATGTGAATTTGTGTGTGTGTGTGTGTGAATTTGTGTGTGTGCATGTATGTGTGTGTGTGTGTGTGCGTGTGAATGTGTGTTTGTACGTGTATATGCATCTTTGTGTGTGTGTGTCTGTATCTTTATGCGTGTATATGCACCTTTATGTGTGCTTGTGTATCTGAATTTGTGTTTCTATATATACATATATTACACCACTCACCCCCCCTCCCTGTCTTCCATCCCCAGCGAATGCGAAGGCGGCCAGTGGGTATGTACAGACCAACAGTGCCCGGGCATCTGTTCCGCATGGGGAGAGTCACACTACAAAACCTTCGACGGGCGCATGTACGAATTCCACGGCACCTGCGATTACCTGCTTGCCAAGGGGAAGTCTCAGAGGAGTGACAGCTTCGAAGTCACGGTTCAGGTGAGTTGGGTGAGCGGGGGGGGGGGGTTAGGTGGGAGGAGGGCGGTTGGGTGGTGGTGTGGTGGGAAGGGAGTGGGAAGGGGGAGGGAAGAGGGAATGGGTGAGGGGGTGAGGGGGTTGAAGTTGGAGTTTTATTTGTTTGTATGTTTGTTTAATTATCTATTTATGATTTGTTTGTTATGTTGTTTTCGACTGAGTGGTTAGTCGTGCTGTACGATGTGTTTGTCTTTCTTTAATTATCTCTGTCTCTCTATCTCCTCTGTCTCTCTCTCTCTCCCCCTCTCCTTCTCTCTCTCTCTCTCTCTCTCTCTCTCTCTCTCTCTCTCTCTCTCTCTCTCTCTCTCTCTCTCTCTCTCTCTCTCTCTCTCTCTCTCATACCCTTTCTCTTTCTCATCATCTCCCTATCCCTCATTCTCTCCTCCTTTTCTATTCATCTCTTTTTTTCTTCTTCCCCTTCATCCTCCGTTCCATTCCCTCTCCCTAATCGCCTCCTCTTGCTTCCAGAACGTCCCCTGCGGTACAAACGGCGTGACGTGCGCAAAATCCGTCACCCTGAGAGTGGGTTCCGGGAACACGCAAGAGACTGTGGAATTCTCTCGCAATAAACCTACGCCGACCAAGTGAGTTGCTCGAAAAAAGTAATGATAATGAAACAATAAAAAAATAAAAATGATAATAAAGAGTAGTAATGATAATAATAAATATGTATGTGTGTATGTATGTAATGTAAATATTGATGCTGAGTTTATTTTGATTTAAAACAAGCTGAGGAACTGATAATGAAACAATAAAAAAATAAAAATGATAATACAGAATAGTAATGATAATAATAAATATGTATGTGTATGTATGTATGTAATGTAAATCTTGATGCTGAGATTATTTTGATTGAAAACAAGCTGAGGAACTGATATATATCTAAGTCTGTGACCCCCGACCAATATGTACTAATTTCCATGGTCCTATTCAATGTCTGTCAACTTTCGTATTCAGCCAATGGCCATGATGTTCATATTGCGCTATGCGTTATAAATAACCAATGTTGAATGATTGTTTAATACGCAGAATACCATTTTTTCGAATCATGCACTTTAACTTTACACCACAATTAACCCATGAGATCCTCACCATCTGGGAATCCACTGACCTATTACCTTATTACCTTATTACCTATTACCGCATTTTTTTTTTACCTCACTCTGCTCATTAAACTCCAACTTCGCAATGCCAATTTTGATCGCAATTTCAGGAATTTAACCCTTACTATCATCCGGGAATCTTACCTTATTACTCATCAGCCCAATTTCGATCCCAATTTCGATCCCAATTTTGACCCTCGCACTGCCATCCGGGAATCCACAGTCTCATTACCTCAATTGCTCCATTACCCAATTTCGTTATCAATTTTGACCCTCACTGCCATACGGGAATCTTACCTCATTACTCATCAGCCCAAGTTTGACCCTCGCCACCTTCCGGGAATCCACAGTCTCATTACCTCAATTGCTCCATTACCCAATTTCGATGCCAATTTTAACCCTCACACAGCCATCCAGGAATCCACAATTTCATTACCTCAATTGCCCTATTACCCATTATACACCTATTCGACATTTACCACAACCTTCAACGGCCCAATTTCGACCCCATTTCAGGAACTTGACCCGCACCATCATTCGGGAAGCTGGGGTGTTCGCCTTCGCTGAGGTGGCCGATATAGGCCTAGTTTTGCAGTGGGATCGTGGCACCCGGGCCTACCTGCGCCTCGACCCGTCGTGGAAGGGCAAGGTCGGTTGTTTGAGGAGGACCTCTGTGTGTGTGGGGGGGGCTTGTGTGTGTGTGTGGGGGGGGGGGAGTGTTTGTGTGTGGTTGGGGGGTGGGGTTGTTTGTGTATGTGTTTGGATTTGTGTGTTTGTGTGTGTGTGTGTTTGTGTGTGTGTGTGTTTGTGTGTGTGTGTGTGCGTGTGTGTGTGTGCTTTGATAACTTTGTTAGATTTTTCCTTCGTTTTTTCGAGGAAATTCTGTAAGTGATGTGTGTATTTCTTAATATGATACTTTCAATAAAAAAATAATGATAATACTAATCAAAATAAAACAAACAATCCAGTACACGGATATATCATCTACGTATCATTTCACATGTTCTCGCTCTCTCTAAGTCTCCCATTTTTTATTCCCTTTTTTTCATGTTCTTTTTTTCTTTTCTCTTTTTTTTTTTAGGTTC